TGGCTTTTCAAAGAACCTTGCTAACCAGTTAGTTCACTGGTTCTATATCAGTGTTTGTTTTGCTTTAAAAGTTTTCACTTTTTATAAAGACCACTTTTACAACAATATTCCATATATATATATAATGCTGTTTGTGTTGCTAGTACCATACGTGAAGAAGAAGGCAGATTGGGCATTAGATTGGATATATTCTGAAGATGCTAGTTTTGGTGAGCGATTAGTAGCATTTGCTGCTATTGAAGGCATTTTCTTCTCTGGATCTTTTGCTGCAGTATTTTGGTTTAAGAAAAGGTCAGTAATATTGACATTTGGAAAAATATTTTATTGTGCATATTGAGTGTTTAAGAAAGTTATGTGTGTTCACATTTTGATGCATTATTAAAAAATAAATAAAAGAATCTGTCTTTGTATACAGTACACATTATACATGTAAATATTGCATCTTCACAAATTCAGTACTTAATGTAACCATTTGTAAATTAAGTTGCCAGATTCAGCAGCAGAACACCACCTTAGAAATAGCAGTTAGCAGTTATAATTTATATTTTAAAGGATAATATTTGTACCTATTATAAGAGTGATAATACTGAAAAGAAACATCAAAGTACCATCCTCTTAAAGATGAGATTATGACCAGGATGCATTACTCCTCCTGTTCATCAGTTATGGGTCATTTAAGGGATGTCTTAATAGTAATAATTTCTATATAAGGTTATTTGCAGTGAAATCTAAGAAGATAGTTCAGTACAGTATATATTATTTAGCCTGGTTTTTTTTCAGAGGTTTATTACCAGGTCTTACCTACTCGAATGAACTAATAAGTCGAGATGAAGGGCTCCATTGTGACTTTGCCTGTGCATTGTTTCACCACCTAAAGCACAAACCTAGCCAGAGTAAAATCAGAGAGATTATATGCTCAGCTGTAGCTATTGAAGTGGAGTTTTTAGTTTATGCTGTACCTGTGAAGCTGATTGGGATGAACACTGCCCTCATGCAGGCTTACATTCAGTTTGTTGCCGACCGACTTCTATTAGAATTCCAATGTGAAAAGGTAAGTTCAGTTAGAAGATTTTACAAAAATGTATTACCGTACTGATGCGGGTTATAATAAGCCCACCCCCACTTAAACACAAAATTGCATCAAGTTTTGGCTGTGAGCTTATACCCGAGGATCCAAAAATGTACATCGTCAAAAATAGCACATAATTTGCAGGAATTTGAAGGTTTTAACATACATGGAAGTGCCATTATACAATAATTTATCATATGAGTGTCTTAATCATCTTTTTGCGTGTTAAAATCTGTTGTCAAAACAAGACTGTAATTTCCCAGGCAAGGTTGATTTGCTCTTACAAATAAATTCTAGTGGCCCGAATACAGACAATACAGGCCACAAACAAGTGAGCAGATAGCTGTTGTTCAAAACGACAGTTGTACGTAGAAATTTCCCATGTAAGGTTTCTTCCCATGATCAAATTTCACACTCTGATGGCGTTAACGTCATGCCGCCTACCAGTGAACAGATAAGTAATTTTCTAAAAAAAAAAGGCATGCGCATAGGTGCAGTATACACAAAGGTTTGCTGACGTAACGGTGGAGTTGACTGACTAGATGTTTGAGCGTTGTGGTAGAAGGCAGACTGTGTTTTTATCAAGACTGCTGAATTTCAAGTAAACGGTTTAACAATTTTAATTGGGAATCAACAAAATCAACATGCAACAATACGATATCAAAATTATTCTTGTAACTTCAATTTCTAATCTTAAAATATTATCATTTTCATACATACACCATCGGAATACCCTTCCAGTACCCGCTGCTACTTGGTGATCAGATTTAAACCACTAAGCACAAGCTCGGTCTAATGTTGAGACACCAGGCTGGTTCAATTTCCACTCGAATCACTTGCAGTTTTGTTCTTTTTTCAAGTATTTAGAAACGTATTGAGTGTCCAGTGCAGTAACGCAAAATTCTTATTACTGTAAATCTTTTGACGCAAACACCATTGGAATAATTTATGATTAGATACCAGGTTATTGACGTATTATTATTTGATAAAGTGACTCCTGTTTGCAGAGATGGCTCATCTTATTTTGAGATTAAAATCATTTTACAGTATTTACATTTCTTCTTTTTTCTTTAGGTTTACAAGTCTGAAAATCCCTTTGATTTTATGGAAAACATCTCCTTGCAGGGCAAAGCAAACTTCTTTGAGAAGCGTGTAGCAGAATACCGCAAAGCAAATATTATGGTCCCAGAACTAGCACGACATCAGTTTACCTTGGATGCAGATTTCTAATAATTACATTATTATCATTCCATTTAGTAGTTAACATTAATTTTCTTTATTTATATTTTTTACCCTGACCTTAATCTTCCAATGCCTTGAAATTGGAATGTTTATACCACGAAGGAATAAGTTTATAAATACAGTGTTTATAAATGTTTTTATACAGTACGTCCAATATTTATTACTGTTGACAAAAAGTCCAATATACACGGTATAATAATAATAATAAATATAATTTACATGGTATACAATTTGCTGTACTCGACTAGTTTTTTATCCTCATGATACTGGTTTATCCTCATGATACTGGTTTTCCAAGCTGAAGAAATAGTACAAATTTGTTCAGAAAAACCTTTTGATTCATTCTCATAACATTCCACATTAGTTTTTGATATGTTTTTGCAAGGCCAATATGAATCAAATACTCCAGATGGTGGCTAAACCAAATTGACTGGAATCCTGGGAACCTAAGCCCCTCTATTGTGAGACAGATGCTGCATCAGTTTAGGTAATTAAAACATGTTTATTTTGTTATGAGGGCAGTCATTTGGTATTATAATTTAGATTTTAGGTTTTTGGTCACCAGGAAATATTTACCCAGCGGTGGATCTAGGTGGGGACGGATCTCAGTGCAAGATAATTGTCGGGTCCTTTAAGGTGAAGCCTGGGGGACGAATACGGAATTCTTCCTGACAGTCTCGCAAATACAGACGCAGAGGCAGCGCTAGCGGGGCTCCTAGGAGGCAAAGAAACCTCCGTCGGGGTCCTCTGGACCACTGCTTGGAACCCTCTGTCGGGGAATTTTCAGCCAGGTCGTTGGGGGAAAATCAAATCTCAAGCGCCGAAAGTTCAATTCAAATCATGCCTTACTCAGCTGTCAAATTTTAGGGATTAAAAACTGTTTAGTGCTAACAGTGCCACCGTATGTGCGAGTGTTGTACTGTACAAACTTAAAAATATCAAACCAAAACATTAGTGTCGATATTTCAGTTTGTTTAGAAGTATGCTTTCCAAAAGTATAATTGATGTAGTACATATCATACCATGGTATTAAGCATACGTAAATAGGCCTACAATGAAATCAAAAGATATGAAGCTGTTCATGTCTTGTATGTATTTTGTATGGATTCATTGTGTCCATCTACAAGTAGGTCACATTATAATTTGATTTTACGATATGCTGGCTTAAATATGAAGAGTGTGTTACAGTCGCCGTCTCTTTAGTACAACATTAAACGATTGTACTTACGCAGCATTTACCCTTGTAGCACAACATGTACAGTATTTCCACAAACGTTTACTGTGTTTGTCCCCCAGATGAAGCCGAAATTGTCTATTTTGAGGTCAATCTGAATTTCAAATTTGTCTCGGATAACATTTAAGCATTAATATCTTCACTAACCACAACAATGCATTATTGGTATACTGTAGGTGTAGGGTCATGTGCATTGTGCCTTTAACGATGTGAAGTACAGGTGATGTCCCCAATTTGGCAGATAGAAATAATAATATAATAATAATGTTAGTCTTATTGAATGCCTATTGCAAAACAATGTATCTAAACGCATTACACAAAATGAACTCAAGAAAAGGAATGACACCATGAAATATCCTAACAGTAACCAAAAATGAAAATAAAAGCAGACAAACCATTTTCACCGCTCCGTTCTCCAGTACTTTAAAGCTCCGATAATTGAGAGCTCACCGGAACAGAAGTCACAGGAGCTCGAGTGAAAATGGCATCTGACTATGCTATCCTACCAACAAAAAATGTAGAGTAAATTTTGAGGAAAAATATGTCAGACAGATTCATTTTTCGAGTTTAAACAAGAGGAGCAAATTAATGATGATTTATATATTCTATTTATTCAAAACATACGTACACCATAAAGCAGTGGTTCCCAACCTTTTTGCATTCACGGACCCCTTGGTACATGTCAGAAATCTTCACAGACCCGCATGTTTAAGTGTTACTCATTACACAA